GCCCCAAACCCCCCGTACCCGGAGCTTCACGTGCGTCCTCTTGCGGAGCCACTTCTCGCGGGGCTTGGAGGGGGTGAAAACAGACACCTCCTTCCCATCCAGCTCCAACACGCTCGAGTTCTCGTGCCTCATCACCTGCGGGAGGACAGAGCCCACCCACACATCAGCCACGGAGCAGGGACCCCCCTCCTGCCCACACTGTCCTGCATCTCCCGACCCTGCACCAAGCCAGGGCGATGCCCGGACAGAGGCACCCGGGTTTGCCTGCCGGGCGTTTGTCGTGTTGGTTTGCAATTTGGTTCCCTAATTGCAAGGACAAGCGGTATCATCTGAGATAGCAAAGCCTGCAGCCAGCGCCGACTTAATGCCGGCTGGGACGTAGGTTATTTCCACTGCCAGGAGGCACAAAACCGATTCAAACGCAGCAGGACGAGCTCGGCACCTATGTACCTGCCCTTCCTCCGGGTGTTCTTTTGTCCCTTCCCATGGTCTGTGAGGGGCCAATCTCTTTCAAACACACGTTTTCTGAAGTTCCTATAACAGATCCAGCACCGTCCAGCTGCTGTTCTCCTTCAGCTCAGTTCTTATTTCTTTTCAACCACATTTTGGACTGCTCCTGTCCCATGGCTTTCACTCCTCTCATTTTGAGAGGGGACAAAACCACTGGTGTGACCCAGCGGAGCCATGCACAAGGCAGAGCCCAGGGTGTCTGTTCATCCCGACCTTGTATCTGAGGCTGCCAGAGCTCCAGGGATGGAGAAGCAGGATTAGATCCCACCTAAGCTGCTCTTAAGCTCCAGAAGGGAAAAGGAAGAATAACACCCCAGACCCCGAAGGAGAGGGGACATCTCAAAGACTGCTCTAAGGCTGGGAGGTGACCCTGCGTGGAGAACTCCATGTCGTAGTCCTTAGTGACCCCGTCCCTCCAAAAAATTAAGGAACCTCTTAAACGTCGGCTCTTTTACAAGACCTTGAAGATATTTTGTGAGGTTAGCAGCTCTGCAGCTGACCCAGGCTGCAGCGCTCTGACCCAGGCCGGCTCGCTTTGCAGAGCTGAAGCTGTTTTTCTTCCAGGGAAATGGCAAAAGGACCCCAGGGAGGATGAGCCTGCTGGGGAGAGAGTTCATGGAAACCCAAAGTAAACAAAATAACAAGTCGTACTGAAAATTATTTAAATCAGGAATCTATTTCAAGTCCTATTTGGGCTTGTTTTAACAAGCTTTAATCTTTGGAGGCTAAAACTATTCAACAGCTTACTTCTACATTTTATCCAGAGATGACTTTCAAAGGCGATTGGAAACAAGTCCTTATTAGGGGAAGAAGTGGTGTGGTGTGCTGGAAGGACAGCAAGAAGACAAGGAATGAGAAAAATCCTGATCTCAAGACAGAGACAAATGAGTAGAGCCAGGCACCAGGGAAGGGGGGTGGCAGCCAGGCTCTGAAGGGATGGAGAGCGACCTCAAACCACAAGAGACGACGCACCACGCTGTGCGACAGTCCCCGGTTCAGCCTGAATCCCGAGGAATTGGTATTTCTTGAGTAGAGTCTA